TAATTGCAAGTCTAAGTGCTTTTTCGTGATTTTATTTCAGCCTTTTTGTTTTAAATACTGACTATTAATCCATTGTTAAAGAAAATTTACTTTTCCTGCACGAAATCTTTATTTTAGTAGCTCATTCTAGAGTAGCTGTCAATTAAAAGTAGCAAAAAAAAAAAAAAAAAAAAAAAAAAAAAAAAAAAAAAAAAAAAAAAAACATAGATAGATAGGGAGATTTATGTTGCCAAATATATATTCAAAACTCAGCCCCGTCCCGCCCCCTAGCGGGGGCATCCGAGGTGAATATTTATTGATCTGCCAAATATATATATATATTTTAATAGCGGGCACTTGGGGGTTGTTCCATTGACCACAGGAATGCCAGAACTGCTACTCGCTTCTCGTTACCCAGTGGGCACCTGTGCCCACGTCACACAACCACAACCCGTTTATAGGGCGGCCTCATTCACACAAAAAGGAGAAAGGACATAGAACACACACACAGAGAGAGAGAGAGAGAGAGAAAGAAACATCCATGCCCTGAGCAGGATTCGAACCCGCGACCAGCGGTTCCGCAGTCAGGCACGCTAAATGTTGTCAAATATAAATCTTAACATTTATATTGAAATTTTAAAAAACATAAAACTTAATAAAAAGTGTTTAAAACTGTTCTCTATTTGAATTGTTATAAGTCTTGCCAACGGGTATAATTATTTCTCACTTGTTTCTATTATTGAGTCACACAATGTGTATTCTTCAGGTAAAACTTTTTTTTTTTTTCCTTTCAAATTCAGATGCTTATTTTTCGAATCAATGTAATCGTTCATTTCGTTATGATTAACATTTGAACAAAATGTTCTTACATAAACTTACAATTATGTATACTTGGAAAACAAAATATCCCATATTTCTGTGGAAAATAATGAATTTTAAGAAAAAAGAAAACAATGATGAATGAGAAGCAATTTTGAGCAGTGCCTTTTAGTATTTTTAATAAACCTTCCAAGGAAAAAAAAAAGATGAAAATAAAGGAAAATTGTCCAGATCAATCTCTTTTAAACATTAAATAGAGTCCTGATGGCTCAGGGGGTAGAGCGTTCGCCTTCCAATGAGGTGAAACGGGTTCGAATCCAGAGATGGCTGGTCGATACGAATCTGCATCCGGCTAGCACCGACCACAGTGCTGGCGTGAAATATTCCCAGTGGTAAACTGCTCGCGGATTAGAGTCCCTTCTCTTCGCCGTCAAATTAACAGTGGAAGGTTCTCGTCGTTTTCCTTTGCCGTGAGGCGAAACGTGGTAGATTTTATTCCATGTAACCCAAATGCGGGTTAGTTCCACCACAGAAGTCCTCCACGAAGGAAAATGTCTCCCAAGACTTGATCCATAAGTTCCCTTGTCTTCTGGATTGGGTTCAAAATTACAAGGCTACAGAGTTGAACATTAGAAGTCGTAAATCCAAAAATTGGGTCGGCTGCTCAATGACGGCTATAAAATATAACATAAAAACACTAAATGATAAAATTAAGTTTCACTTACTTATGTTTCTCGCTGTCAGGAATTCACACGGCATTAGGTGACACTAATTATCATCAGGACTACGACGTAGCACTCTCTTTTCAATAGGCGGCATAATATATATGTATAGATTAATTTAAAGGACCAGTCATAATATTTAAAAAATGAACTCTTCCCAAATTAATAATCTTTCCTTTGCAAAATTAAAAAAAAAAGAGTGTCTATGATGTCCTTAATTAATATTTTTAAAACTAAAACTTATTGAAAGACAGTAATTTTTTTCTCGTCTTTTTTCCAATTAAAACTGATCCTTATTTTCACATATTTAATTTTATAAATGGCGTTGAACAGTTGACCCAATTCTGAGTTTACGACTATCAATTGATAGCCTTGTAATTTTGAACCTAACCCGAAAGACAAGGGAACACCTGGATCAAGCATTGGACCAAACTTGTTTTCCTGGAGGACTTTTTGATGGAAGTAACCAGGCAAGGAGAGGAAAATCATCCACGGTTAACCCTACACCAAGGGAATTTCAATCTATGATCCGTCTACCACAGGGTATATTTTACATTATAACTGTGGTCAGTGCTAGCAGTGTAGTAGAATTCCTGCACACAGCTGGGATTCAAACTTGGATACCTCATTGGGAGACGAACGCTCTATCCCCTGAGCAATCCAGGGGAGGCTCAAAAGGAGAAGCCATTGAGGCTCTATTTTCATAAAAACAAGGCCCTCTCAAAAAGAATGTTTTCTACGGTAATTTTAGATTTAAAAAAATATGAGTAGCATTATTACAAAAAGCCTATTTAGACCACAGGTTTTTGTACATTTTCACAAAAACACGACCCCGTTTTCAAAATTAAAGGACTTTCCACAATTTGACAGGTAGTTTGGAATAACTTCTTGTTTCTGTGTTTAAGGAATGACAGTTGTTAAGTAGACCTACAAGGATATTTAAAAACGAAACAGTCAAACATTTCTATAAAGTTGGGTGATATCTTTAAAAATCGCAAGACCTTTTCCAGTCCTTCAAGTACAAAATACATAAAAAAACGAAATAATGAAAAGCAAACGTTTTGTTCATGAATATATTAAATAAACTTGGAATTTGTTAAATAAAACCACGATTCCTTCCTAAATGTTTGATGTTTTCCACACTCCATTAATTTCAAACAAATTTTCTTCTAAAGAATTATAAAAACTTATGTATACTGACATTTTCTCCTTATCCTATCTGTTAAGCCTATCAAACGATGTAGATGAAAATGCTCTAGCTATTATTATAAAGACTGATGTTCAATAGCAGTATTGAAAATAGTGTAATTGACTTTCGGTTTTGGAACAATATTCAAAATAAAATAATCTATAAAACTGGGAACAATTCTGGGATTTAAAATTAAACGCATGATTTATTATAACATATTTTTGTTTTTTAACCCTGGCTATTACATACTTGCCAACTCTTCCGAATTTCCCGGAAAATTTCATTTTTACACTTAATGTGGTGGCAAATTTTGTAGAATCACATTTTATTCTTCATAAAATAAACATGGTTTAAAATTATTTTCACTACTATTACATTTGAATAATTTAAACGTATGCATAAATAGCCTTGCTAGGTCTGATAATGTTTTTAATTGTTAGCTAATCCTTTACAAAACACCAACATACAATCATAATTTCATTGGCTTTACCCTACTACTAGAAAAATACCTCTTTGAAAAGCGTAACAGTAGGCAGGTATGCTATTATGTGAGCATCAATTTATAAATTTTTTTCTAATGTTGAAATATTACTTCATGGGGTGGGAAGTAACAAATTTTATACTTACCTTATACAATAATATTTATTTTAAAATTATTTTGAAAAAATGGAATGCAAGTAGCATTGTCAACACCTGATCTCACTTGTTATCGAGAATGTAAATTTTTAGTTGATTAGCTCTTATAAAACAAAGTTAAGAAAAAGTTGGAAATTACAAACAGGGTATCTACTACATTTTAGATTTCCAAATTCATGACTAATTCGAAGAATTTTTCATGACTTAACGAAGTTATTTTCTTCGCCAAAAACACAACAATAAATTTAAAAAAGCATTACAATCACATTCACTGAAATGATAGGTATAACCAAAACTGTTATACCTTGCATCTTCATATTTATTGATTTTAAATTTAAAAAACAGAGTAAAGAAAGAGTTTAAGCAATAAAAAGCTAAAAAAAAATACAAAAGCAAATAATTTTTTCTTTCTCCAGAATTACATTAAGATATTTTTCTTGTTCATCGGAAAGGAAAGAAAGAGGATTTTTCTGCTTTCATTTCGGAATAAAAAAATTCGCCAATGACTGGCTTGTTTCAGCTAAAATTTTAAATTGATAAAATTAAAAAAAAAATAATAATTACAAAAATTCTGAAATCACAGAAGTTTAAAAGATAATTCGCTCTAGAAATTGTGTTTTTTCTTTCGTTTTTTGAAAGAACACGAAAAAAACATATTTTAATCAAATATGACTGTGAGTGGGGATTTTTTTACAAATTCAGAACACCATGAAATTAGGGGTTAAATTCCATTTTAAAAATTAGATTTTTCAGCCACCTAAATCCTCCATGACTTTTCATAATTTTTTTTAAAAAAAAATAGCTAAAATCATGACAAATTTTGTTCAATACTGAAATTTATGACTTTCCAGGTGTGCGGATACCCTGCATAAAGTGGAAATCTGCAGATTCGAGGAAAAATTTCATGCCTGAGTCCCTGAATCTCATCACAGTATCAATGACAACAACATATATAATATTAAAAAGAATCTCTAACCAATTTATACTAAATTACAAATCTTAGAACTTTTTAAAGATATGTTATCAGTATTCATACACAGGAGCTACTCAAATATCATGTAAGAATAATTCTAATGATTTTGGAACCTTTCACAGAGAATATTCGAACAACCCCAGATATATAGCCAAACACCGGGTAGCAGGGGAGGCAAATTTTTGACAATCATCAAAACACCAAAATCTTAGCGTGGAAAATAAATACAATGAAGCAGTTATATACACAAAAAAACACTTATGAAATTACAAGTGATCTAATTATGATGTTCTTTATTAATTTTGATATTAAAACCCTTTTCAGTTTCAAAAATCCAAACTTTCGTTCTACACAACTATAATTAGTAATAAATATTGGATAATTATAAATAGAAATATGTAAAATTGCAATTTATCCAATTTAAACTACAAGAAAAATATAGAAATTTAAAACAATTTTGATCATTAAGCAAGTGTTGCGCACAATTTAGTCGCGTAGCCTTACGTCTAATAAAATATTCAGTTGGCAGTTTACGACAGTCTCCAAGTTTTTGATGTGTCATTTCAAAAACTAATTTTAAACATCAAAAACTCATCCCCGCAATAGCAAAAAAAGTGAAAAGTTACACATCTATTTTTTGAAGCAAACCTATTATTTCTCTTTAAAAAAAAACTAAATAACAAATTTTTTCATATCATTTTATTATTATAATTCATTTGACAACCCAAAAATTATAAATTTGCTCAGCAATATGCATACAATTCAATGAAGCTAGTTAAAAAATAATTTGGAAGTCAACAAATTTACAAAGCCAGCGTAACTACAAAAGGTAAATAACATATTTAGTTGAAAGGGAAATAAACTTTAGTACAGAATTCTATAATTTTAGCTTTTCAAATATAAAAGAAAACAGTCTATATGATAAATCAAGTAATTCGATGAAATTAACAATACAACAATATTATTTCTGAAAAATCAATTCTTATCTAATTTGAAGTAGATATTCTATAAATTCTGGAAAATCAATATTTTTTTTCTGATCTTAGAGCTTGGTGAATTGATCTATGAAGGTTCAAGAATCCTAGGGAAGAAAGAAAGAAAAAATTAACTTATAAACATGTACTAAACAAAAAAGTGAACTATTTGCCAGTTTTTTATTTTTTAAAAAAATCTTTTAAACATCTCATTAACACAATGGAACATTGGCCCACTATTCTAATTTTTGGCTAGAATTCTTCCAAATGTTTAAAGTAGTAGCAAAATGTATGCTTAAATATTTGATTTAAAATGATTTTGACTACCATGACATTTAAAAACTTGAAGATAGACCAACGAATATTATTTCTTATTACAATAATGATGCTTAGACAGAATTTTACAAGCGTTTGCTTTCTCGGGTATTATTTTCTGATTACAAAACTTAGTAGGTATAGTCTGTCTAAGCACTCTAAGTTAAGAACTCCTCCTGCCAGAAAGTCTGAGGCCATCTAGTGCTATGGAAACAAGAATGGCACAAAAATGGAGGGTAGCTTCACTCTAGGACAGGGTTTCTTAAACTATGGTTCATGAACCCCTAAGGGGTCCATGAGTTATATTTTGGGGGTCCGCTGACTACTCCTAATTTTTAAAATGTTTGGAAGCCTACCAGTAAAAATATAACATCGAAATCGATTGAATGTTGAACATGATATAAACGTTGCTTTGTCGAAAACCATCCCCCCTATTCAATTTATTAAGGAAAAGCAGCAGCAACCTTCACATTAAAAATTTTAATTTTGAAAATTTTGTATACTATTAAAATAATAAAATTAAATGTTTTCTAATAATTGATGTTTTCTGCAATTACTTTTTTCTCAGGNGGGAGGTGGTCCGTGACTTCTTAAAAAATTTTAAAAGGGGTCCATTATATCAAAAAGGTTAAGAAACACTGCTCTAGGACTAACATAATAAATTAAAGAAAGAGATTCCCCTTCTCCTCCCGACCCGAAACCACTCCAAAACAGTGCCATGCACCTCTACTTGAAATAGTCATACCTCGTTACCATGGTCACCGCCACAGGTTCAGACGAATGTCTGGAGGAGTTCTTATTTTAGACAAATTATAGGTACTTTAAGTCGCACTAGAGCTTCACAATGGGCTGTTAGCGCCGGTCAGGGAAACATCACTGAGGATGATCTGAAGTCATGCCATATCACAATTTTGATTCTCTGCAGAGGGGATACCCGACAACCTATGTGTAGTTGAGCACTTTTCAGTAGAACAGTTTAATGAAGACCGATACTATGTACTCCTGGTCCTCAAGGTGGCCAACTACCAGCGCACTGACCACAGCCAGTGATGCTTGACTTCGGTGATCTGCTGATCAGCCCACTGTGGGACTGATTGAAGATGTGCATTTTGACAGGTGCATTTTGATATTCAGAAATTTTTTCAGCAATTGAAACTTCAAGGCTTACTCTAGGTTTGCAAGGTTCCTACGCAGGCTGATTAAAGTGGTCGCCCACCAGCTTACTGACTGAAGCTTACTTTGGTGTTCCATTTGGAACCGTGTCTTGACGTTCAGTCCACTGCGGGACCACAAAACTTAGCAACTAACTTTTTCAATATATGATTCTACTTCTTATTATTTATGATAAATAGGTTCTGTTGGAGGAAGGGGGTGGAGGAGTCAAAATAGATTTATTTTTCCTTGCAGCAAAATTGAATTGATTAATTGTATTTTAATAATATAATTTAAAAGTAATGTTAATGAATGTATCCATTTAATGCTTGCATTAATGTTCGCATGCTGCAATATTAATTTACTTACTGCTTTAGTTTTTATTTATAGTTTGTTTTATAATATTGCGGAATTACAATCTAAAAGATTTATTTCATGAATATTTTTAAAATATTTTAATCTTTTAATTAAACAGGGTTGCCACTCAAATCTGAGAAAAAAAATTCCCCGTGTTTTCCCTGTACATATTATAGACAATATCAATAGGAAACAACAATTGTTGTGCTCATGTGTAAGCTATATTAAGCTAACTATATTTATTAGTTTTAATTGCTGGAAAAACGACTGAACATACTTAAAAAGAGTAAATGAAATAGTTTAGTATAGTTGAAATATCATGGCTAAATAATATATAGATTATGCTTTGAGGAAGACAAATATTTTGAGGCAGAATAATTTAACAATTTATTTTTAGAAATATATATATACAAGTGATGTAACGAATAGTGATGTGGCCGAATACTGAATATTCGGTGGTCGAATGCTTACTTTTTAAAAATTTCTCTTTTGACTATAATTTAGTAATTAAAGTAATTTTCAAATTAAAAATGAAATAAATATTAACAAAATTGCTTTTTTAATCTTTGTATATTTTAAAAAAATTTAACAACTTGATTTTTTTTTGTAATAATTTAAATATCTTGATGCCAATAACAAGGCAATATGGCTTTTATAAATCTAAATAATTAATAATAGCATATTTTAGTTATAGTTATACTTGTAATTTATATGCTATTTTATTTAAAATAAGAACTCATTACTACTGTTAAATGTATTCTTAACTTTCTTTTTTGTCAGAAAAATTATTAAAACCCAGAAAATTAAGCTTGTTAAGCAGCTTGTTTCTGTAAGTATCAAGACATCCATTAAATGGATAATTAATGTTTTACATTTATAATAAATAATTATATAATCATATATTTCTAGTGCATATTATTGATAAATAGATATTATTAAGGGAATCACAAATACATTTTAATTGCCGATTCAGATAGTATTCACACTTCTATTTAACAAACTATATACATTTGTATTTAATGTAAAAGATTCCAATGCTTGTTTAAATACATATGATGATAAATTTGCAACTAGAAAACGTTTTTATTTATGTAACATTATTAAATACACTTATGTATTATACAACTTAAATTGAGTAAATGTTAGATGTTCTAATAATTAATGCAGTGAAATGTAACTCTGCAATATTCATGATTAAATATATTTAAAAGCACATTTAAAAAAATATCTTTCTTTATTATTATGAATTTATTCAGTCAAATATCTAATAATATTCATATTCAGTCGAATAACTTCATTATTCGGCTAGGCCGAATATTTGGCAAAAGGGTCGAATATTCGCTACATCCCTAATATATACATATAAATAAAAATCTGAAATTATCTTTCAACAGCTTTTTTTTAAAGTTATAATATTATGATTTTCTTCTAAAACTTCTCAAAAGTGTAAGTATTTCAAATTTCAGAAATATTTGTAATATTTAAAAAAAAAAAAATCTTGTCTAGAAGAATATATGCATTAAAATTAGTAGCATATTTATTACAACCCAGTTCTTTGCGAAAAATCCACACTTTACTACTCTTTACTAATACATATACATAAAAAAAATTTGTTAAATTTAACTTCGTTCTTCAGATGAATTTAAGAAAAATAAATCCAAAAAAGCTTACTTATAATTCAACTGATCTTTTAAAAAGAATAAAATTAGCTGATTTAAATTACAGAAACCTGCTCACACAGAAAAGCTATCAAAAGCAATGGATGTGTAAAATAGCTGTATGGAGCATATGAGTTCAACTTACCTATCGTCTAACTGGTACAAAACCATCATCATCAGGTTCTCTAGGTTTATCTCTACTACGATTAAAGTCTCCTCTAGGTGCAGGCTTTCTATCAGAACGATCTTCATTTTCCCTTCCACCTCCACCAGATCTCCAAGATCCTCCAGCAGAGGTTCCACCTCCACCAGATCTCCAACTGCCGCCTTCAGGAGCTTTATCTGATCCACCTTCATTTCTGGAACCAAAACCATCACCACGAGAGCTGTAACCACCCGGACCATCATTTCTAGATCTGTATCCACCAGAGCCTTCATTTCGGGAACCGAAGCCATCTCGTTTCTCTCCTCTACGGTCAGATGTATCATCTCGTCGGTAAGAATCTCGGTCACGTGAAAAGTTTGATCCCCCTAATCCTCTATCTCTGCCATCAGAACGATCTTTATCTCTTTGACTCTCCGGATATCTCTTGACTTCTCTATCGCCTTCCCTACGGGCAGCAGGTGCTGCAGATCTCCAATTGGTTGTCTCCTCTCTATCCCTACGATCTCTGCTGCTATCTGATCTAAGATCATCTCTGAAAGCAGGTCTTTGATAAGTAGCAGGTTTCTCATCCCTTCTCCAGGTGTCCTCTTTAGGTTTTTTCCAATCTCTATCCTCTGTCGTAGAAGCGGCTCCCTCAGCTCTGCTTCGCCAATCACGAGCTTCATTATCTGCACCACTTTTTTCTCTACTACTTCTATCATCTCTTAAAGGTCTATCTTCTCTACTACTTCTGTCATCTCGATTTGTTCTATCATCACGTGGACCCCAACTTTCTTTTTTAAGTTGTTCACGTTCTCGCCAATTGGAAGCTGGTCTTGTGGTTTCTAGAGGTTTCTCTTTATTTCGGAGGGCTGTACGTTCTTCTTCTTGCTTCTTTTCTAGCTCTAATTTTTCGCGTTTTAACCTTTCCTCAATTTCTTTTTCCTTTGCCCTTTTCTTCGCTTCCATCTCTTCCAATTTTGCTAGTGCTTCTTCTCTTTCACGTTTCATTGCTTCTGCAATCATCTGCTGCTTCTTTTCCTCTTGAAGTTTGATTCTTTCAAGTCTTCGTTCTTCTTTTCGTTTCTGTTTACGTTCTTCTAAACGCTTTTTCCTTTCTTCAGTTAATACTTTTTCAAATTCAGCAAGTTTCTCTTGGTAAACAGATGCACGTGCTTTCTTCAAACGATCAAGGAATTTATCTCTATCATCTTTCAATCGCATGAGTCGATCCCGATATTGTACAGCAAGAGCTCTTTCTTCGATAATGGTAGTAATTCTTTCTTTTTCATGTTGCTCCCAGAAATCTTTATCTTTCGCTTTATGTTCATCATATTCAGCAAGTAGCAAAGGTACTTCCTCGATCCTTTTAGCTCTTTCCAAATGATCGACTTTACGTTCTTGTTTTCTTAATTTAGCCTGAAGTTCCTTACGTTCTCTGTCTAACTGCTCGACATGCTTATGCAACAAATCATCTGGATCTAACTTTTCTAATTCCTCTTCATCCATTCCATCAAATATCTTAGAACCAATTTCAGTCTTTTTCAGTTGCTCAATTTTCTCCATTACCACTTTTCTTTTCATTTCTGATTGTTCACGCAATAACCTCTGTTTGGTTCTTTCTTCAGTTTCTCTAGCCATTCTTTCTTTCTCAGCTTCTCGCAACTTTTGATGTTTGTCTTCAAGAAGCTTGCGCTCTTCAACTTCTTTCTGATAATTAAGATTCTCAAGCATTTCTTTTCTTTCCTCAATAATTTGCTGTCGATTAAGAATTCTCATGTGATCTTTAGAAGATGTGTGCATGTAAGCTTTCACAATTTCTTTAGACAACTCTTTTCTTTCAAGTTTCTTCTTATCAGGAAGAAGGTAGTTGACAGCTTTGTTCAAAACAGAATGTATGTAGACAAGTTGATTACGCATTTGTTCACTTGGCATGCTTTGCAACTGGGGGCCTTCTATGATTTCTTCTCTTTGAGAAACATTCAATTCTGAGCCAAAGTGGAAACACTCTTTCCTATGATCAATTCTAACTTGCAAATCATTTCTTCGAGCAATTTCAACTACCAAATATTCCAAATCAAACGGTTTCACAAATGGAGCTAACTCCAACAAACGAGAAAATTTGATAGTTTGATACACTTGAGATACTTCTTTGACCAATCTGACAACGGTTATTTCTTGGATAGAAGGGATATATTGTCGGAGCTCAGGAAATTCTTCCCATTTAATCAATAGTTCAAAAGATTGTTGAACCCTTGAACATAGTTTAAGAGGATGGAACTCTGTTTCCAACCATCTGTATAAATCTTGCAGTTGAGATGGTGCACTTTGGATTATTCCAAAACGAACAAGATCCTTGATCAATAGGGCTCTAGTAGGAGGGTTTGGCAATCCCAAAAGAGTAGACAATAAACGATGATTTTTGTCAATTACATTTTCATCAGTTTCGACAAGACGATCTATATCCGAACGAATTGGAGGCATAGGAACAGCAAGAGTAGCTAAAACAACTCTTGATGCCATTTTCAAGATTTCATCAGCTGTTATATTTTTCTTTTGCTCTCTAGAAAGATAGAATAATCGGAACAAAGCTGCTGCGTGGAATAAGTAGTTGTTACTTTTCCAAAACACCAAGGCAAGCTTCTGATAATAGTTAGCCATTAGACGTGGATTGGGGGCTTTCTTAGACAAGCTCATTAATCCATGAATATCCTCAATAGCTTTGTATGCTTCCTGCCACAGCTCCATCTGAATGGCACTATCAAGCTGAACAAGTCTAGTTTCTAAATGCATAGCCTGGCTTTCAGGATTGTTTAGATTTACTGATGTTTGTTGGTTTTGGTGCTTGTGTATATGCCCTAAATGAGCCCTCAAATTGTCACATAACTTCCTGAATTCGGTTTTTCGATTATATTTCAGACAAAATCGAAATGCTTGTTGTGCAATATCATGATACAAGCGCTCAACTCTTGAGTTATTTCTTAACAATTCCAGACAATGTCGATAAGATTCCCATAAAAATTTCACCCAAGGGGTAAGAACAACACGATCTGTTCTGTCTTGAGTATCCTCAGAGCTGACAGCACTTAAAAGCAAATTTTCTGGAGTCTGGACTTGGTCTAAATCATCAATATCTACTACTACTTGCTGAGATTCTTCTCTAGCAGACTCTGTTTTCTCTTCAGCAAGAGCAAGATACCCTCTTACAACATCTTCTAAAGACTTAATATTAACCTGTTGACAAATATTACGATACTGAAACAAACCTTCTTTTGCAACATGACTTTTCTTCAATTCAACACAAAGTCCAAGATACTTGCTCATAATAGGTTCATGGATCTTTTGCCATGTTCGGTGTTTACGACTTTTAATGACATCGCAAAGAGCATCAAGTGCTCTTTGCTTCTTACCAACGTCGATAAATTCATTTGCTCGCTTAAGAGCATTTTCTGGCCTCTGGAAATATTGCGGCATGATTAATCAGATTACAAGACTGAGTGCGAAAATAGACACTAAAATAACATAATACTACGAAACCAGTGTTCCGGTTGATGAGATTATATTAAATGGTCTAATCTAATGAAATTTCAAAATCAAGTACGAAAAATTTGACACAAAAACAAATATTAAATGTAAATATAGTCACAATACTACTAATGTAAACGTAAATTCGCTACAATTTACCACGCAGAGGAGAATTTGTTGCCAAGAATGATTTTAGAAATTCCAACTTCAAAATTCATTTTGTCATTCGAAATCAATAAATTTTATAGATGGCGCTTAACAAAATTCCTTATCTAGAATATTTTTTTCATCACGAAATATATGTGAAGTCAATTTTATTTAGAAAATTGGATATAAAGGATTCTACTGATCTTATTGAATCCCCTATTAAATCTTTTAGCTGATTGATTCAAGCTAAGTGATCAAAAAGTTTCTGCTTAAATTTTACACGGTTGGGAACCTGTATTTAGAAGATGGTCCCTCATTAGCAGTGGATGGAGAGCGATGAATAAAAAACACAATTATTTTGAATTAAAAAATAAAACAGGGAAATACTCGGAAATTTTCAATTAATTTTTTAAGGAGCTAATTTTTGTCTCAATTTATTGAGTGCAGACGATAATTTACGTTACGAAATCAGACACTAAAACGTACTTTCTCTGATATTTTATATAATAATAGTATATTTATATAATAATAGTTATTGATATTTATATAATAATATATTGATATTTTATATAATAATAGTAAAAGAAAATCTAAATTGTAAGGTATAAAAATTTTTTACATCATTTTGTATGTCATCAGTATGTAATTTTACATATGGCAAAATATAAAATTTGTGTAAATGCGTCAAATAGTTCCTGAGAAATTGAATTTTAAAAAAATCGTATATTTAAAATTCGATTTCTTACGAACTATACAACCAATTTCACTCAAATTTCATATTTTTCGATGCAAATTTACATATCTCAAGAACGCTTGAAGACAGCTGGAACATTTTTTCATATAATTATAAAATTAATTTATCCAAAGGTAATTCAAAACAAAAAATAAATTTCAGTAAATATTTATTACTTTTTATTAATTTATTTAATAATTAATAAATATAAAAATTTTTTACGTCATTTTAAAGTTTCATTTTAAAATCCGCCGTCTAGCGAGGACGATATTTTCAAGCTTCTATTTCTTTAATTTTCATTTAGTTCTACCAGAATCCTTGGAAGAGTAGAGTAGGACGCTTTTTTCTTTTCAGCAATAAATAAGGAGTAAAATTTCTCTAAGGAAAAGGTCTTTGAAGGAATTTAAAAAACGATCCAACAATGGTAAATCATTCGGAAACAGAAAGTGCAATTTGAAGAACAATTTCTCAATATTTTTTTCAATCTAACAAACTTGTAACCGATAGATAACTTCCGATTTCGTGATCGCATACTGCTAAAGATGAGCGAATTAAGGTAAAATAATTTCTTTTTTTTGTCCTTAATTCCTTATAAATTAAAGGGATGTTATTTTAGTCCACATTAAGCCCGCATTGAAGTATACTTCATTCCAGTGAAAAAATGTGATTTCAGAACTCGCAATAGTTATGGAATAGAATATTCTTCTTTTTTTATAGAATAGCATATATTTTTGTAACTATATAATTCGGAAAAAACAATGAAGAATCATCCGAACCTAATTACTTCAAATAGTATCATTTGTGTTGATTGTTAATAAATTTTATCATTTTCTTAATAAGTATTTTTTTAACTTTAAATGATTAATTTCAACTAGAATTCAGCTATTCTGATTTTTATTCACATATAGAAACTCATATCGAGATCTTCTTACAATTACAAAATTTTATTTTGTGAGTTGTCATCTTAAAGTAAGAAAAGGATAATCTATGTTTATATTATTTGAGAATAAAATTTTCAAACGAAAAACATTTCATTTTGTAATTCTTCAGATTTATAAAGCAAGTAAATGTTATGATTTTTAAAATAAAAAAATTATTTGCAAATAAATTTTTTTCTAATTTGATGATAGTTTGCTACAGATTTGTTTTCTACATCTGATTAAAAACTTTAAGAACAATATGAAAATTCTTCATTTCAATATGAGGAATTTTCAGGATCGTTTTCTTTATCGTAAGCATTCTTTATTTTTCTTTTTTTAGTTTATAAATAATGATTTTTTATTGAAACTTTCAATTTTTTTGAAAATAAATTTTTATTTAAAATAAATTTAGAAAAAAAGAAGATCTCTAAGTTTTTCTAAGAAAAAATTTAAGGTCAGAATGAATTTAAAGCGTTACAAAAATGAAATAAATGTTTATTCTTTGAAATTTTTGATTATTGAAATATGTCTGACAAAAGTGGTATAGTAATTTATTTTATTAAAATTTTTTTAATGTTAGGTGTTTCAAAAATTACTTTTAACAATAATGAAAAAAAAAAAGTTTATTTGTTTTTATAGGACGCTGCGTAACGCATGATACTCGTCACCTCTCACACACAATTGTATCATAAACAAAATAGTGGGTTACGAAAAACTGTGGTTCACAGAAAAATAACAATAATAATAAAAAAAAAATCATAAAAGAAATCGATGATAGTGATAATTTCAATTATTTATGTCAGAAACAATTATTGCTACAATATTAGCGACTTGAGACTTCGTTACATTTAAAACGCAACATAGGACTCAATAAGCATAAAAAAAAATACTACAATTCAGAATTCCATCAGATCTGAATAATATTAAAAAATATTAATTAAAATTAATTTATAGATTCGGGCATTTTTTTCTCTCGCAAATTTGATATAATGCAAATATTAAGTATTAAGACACAAAAATATTTTTGTAAAATTTAATAATAATTTTAATTAAATCTTTCAAAGTTAGTTTCAACTAACTCTAAGCTGGAATTTAGTTTTTAAATCTTATGACTATGAGGAGCATTGAATAAGAAATATCAATATACTTTTTTGCCTTGACCTGAGACATTGGATTGACATGATTTGGTGTTTTCTCAGAAGTGTTTTTATTTTTAATGTATTAGCAAAAAAATAAATAAATAATTGAATAGATATATGAAATAATTTTTTACTGATTTGATATAATTAACGACATCTTTAATTCTAAGCATGATTGCAGCAAAGTATAAATTTTTTATTGAGCTTAAAATTATTGTTTTTTTTTTTAAAAATTAGACTCCAAATTTCTTATTGAAATACGTACAATGGAAAATAGTATTAGTTTTCTGCTTGCAAACAACTTTTTTGCGAGTTTAAGTGTTGATAATAATGATTAAAATTGACATTACTGATGTAAGTTTCTCGATAGATCAACAATTTTTTTTTAACGATGCAATCATGATGGATTAAGCAAATGAATTAGGCTAAAAATAACATAAATACTTAAGAACAATTACGAGTAAGAGTTCTCTTAGAGCCCTACAATATAAATTGCATTTCACTTTTATAAATACTAAGGCGCAGGCTGGTATAATTAAACTCGAGAATCTCTTATGTCAAGGCACTGTAACTAGTTTTGTAACAGATGTTTATTAAAGTTTTTGAAACTATGTACAAAAACATCTAAAATTTATTTCGTATAACAAAATATTTATCATTTGTCTTCTAAGGATAAATTATTTTAAATGTATAATTTGCTTTCGTAGTTTCATTTCTTAAGATATTTTCCAATCAATTATTATTTAGGTAAAAATGTCGATTTTTCTGTGAAGATTTTTTTATTATTTACTTTGAATTCACCATTAATTTCTTTCGTATACTTTATCTAATATCTTATTCAGTAATGCTATGAAAATTTTCTTTTTTTGAGCAATACAATTATAAAATAAATCTTGTTTCTTGCACTTTTATCACTTCTGAAATTGCAAACTATAAAATTATTTTCAATAAAATCTTCATTCGAATTGAAAATGAATCTAATAATAATGTTAAAGTTAATTTGATCAGATTAACTATTGAAGTAGTTTCATTAAAATCTTCATCCTTATTTAAATTAAAAAAAAAAACAAAAAAACAATAAGGTTAAAGTAAAGCACTTTGAATGTATAAATTAATTTCTCAGGCCTATTCCTTCAGATTTATCTTAATTTATTATTTGCGTAAAAGTATCGATTCCTTTGTGAATAATTTCTTATATATATTTCAAATTCAAAATAAATTATCACTTTATTCTGATGAAATGTTTAATTTAGCGAAAAATGATTAATAAAAATCTCTTACATCTGAAAAAGCAATCAAGTGAGGCAGTTTTCTTTTTAAATGTATAAAATTCTTCCTTATAGCCACTTACTCAAATCTATTTCAGTTCATTATTAACGTTAACAATATGAATTTTTTTGTGAAAAATTTCTTATATGTATTTGTAATTAAAAAATTGACATTTTTTTTGGATTTTTTTGTGAAGAATTTCTTATATGTATTTGTAATTAAAAAATTGACATTTTTTTTTCCTTATTACGCATCTGAAATGCTTAATTTTCAATGAAAGCAATGTATTGCAATAAAAGTACCCTTTAAAAAATTTCCTTAGATCTGAAATTTCAAACTTTTGAGATAATTTTCCCAAAAACCTTCATCCTAAATAAAAATTAATAACATTAAGGTTAAAAGTAAAACATTTTAATTGTCGCAGCCTGCTTTCTCAGAGACGTAGTTTTGCTCAGATCTATCTTGATTTATTATAACAATATTAATTTCGTTGTAAATAATTTCTTATAAGCTTTTTGTATTGAAAAATGCTCAGTTCAATTAAATCTTCATCCCATTTAAAAATGAATAAAATGTTTTAAATTAAATATGAATTATATTAGTACATATGAATTATATATTTTGTGGTACCTTTGAAGAATTTTTATTTCGTTAAAAAGAGTCAAATAGCTTTTCTTATTTTTTTAAGTAAAGGATTAATTACTTCTAATATGACGCTTGCAAACGAACTAAGTTTTATCTTTCGGAATTGGGTATAATATAGCCTACGTCACAGGTTGTGTTGTTCCTACTAAATTTTACCCATGAACGGCATTTTCTGCGAGCCTAACTTCAAGCCACAAATAAACAAACGAAGTGTTCGATCGTTTAAATAGCTGCTCGCCAGATTTTATTGCATTATAAAGAAAAGTTATTGAAACTAAATACAACTAAATAAACAACAACAACTAAAACAAATAACAACAACTACTAATAACAATAACTAAATAAACAACAACTAAATTCCATTCGTTTAGCATTGCGTCATATGTTGTTCCTACTAAATCGAAGTAGTTGTGTTTTTTTCATATTATACCCAATTAACACCGTTATTCAAGAACGAAGATTTTGTACACGTTATTTAAGAACAAGGATTTGGAACCGGTTACTTGATCACTGATATAGCTTAACCGATAAGTCTTAAAGAGTAGTCAGGGAATTTGAGCCAATGAGGAGGCAGAGACGGTGATGTCATTCCCTAAAAATAAGCAGTGATGTCATTTTCCGCCAATAGCGTCCAATCGCGCCCATTTTGAATTTAAGCGCTCGTGATGTTCATCGATGGAGGTTGTAATTAAATTTTAACTCTGCAGTGGAAGATGACTAAGATGATAAACCAAACCAGTTTTTTTATAGCGCATGCGCATTGGTGCGATTGCTTCCTCTCCTGCATCACTCCTCCCCCGTAGTACTATGAAAACTTTATTTATTCCTATATTTCGTGGTGTGAGATAGCTACAAAAGTTGTTTTCTCCATTTCTGTTGAACGTGTAGCTGTTAATAAATTTTGGTAAGTGGAAATTTTATAAATATTAGATTTCATTATTATTTAATATTAGATTTAATTATTCAATCTAGATTACGAAATTAAGCTGATCGGATTTTTATTTAAAAAAATTAATAATTTAAAAACTTTATTAATAATTTAAGAATTTTAATCTTGTGGTTTTACATGAGGTACTGTTACAGTACAGTTAATTTTATTGCATTAAGATAGTGATCGTAAATTAACTCATTTTTTTCCCTCTCAGTGTTCTTTCGTGGATATTTCTTTTAACCCATGTGGTAACAACTCAATTATGAGCTATACATTATTTTTTATTTAAAATTTAGAACTAGTATAATTATGATTGTGACCTTTGTGGTTTTTATTTTAAGGTTTTAAACTATTAAGATAGTGATCTTAAATTAATTTATTTTTTATTTCTCAGTGTTCTTCCCTTTATCCATGTGGGATTTTAATCACTTTCACATCTTTTGTGTTGTAATAAATTTTATTTCGCAAATCTCACATGTTTTTAAAATTATTGTAATATATTTTTACTATTAATGCGTGATGTATTATTCAGTTTAAAATTTATGAAGAGAATAGTGGTTATTTCTTTTAATCCATGAGGTAACAACTATATCATATGAATTTTTTTTTAAATTTAAGATTTTGAACTATTAAAATTATGATTGTGATAACCCATGTGGTTTTTATTCTAAAGGGTTTTAAACTATTACGATAGTCATGTTAAATTAATTTATTTTTTCTCTCAATCTTCTTTCCTTTATCCCTGTGGAATTTAAATCACTTTAATGTTGTAATAAATTTTATTTTGATCATTCTAATGCTACTCAATATGATTCTTCAGTCTCTCCAATTATGTCTTATAACGAAGAGTGCTTATTTCTTGTTACAAGATTATCAGATTTATTTTAATTTAGTGGTCGATACGTGTTTTTATCAAAGCTATATATAAAATGTAAAAATGTTGCACAAATAGTTTTAAAACCGAACTTATCGGTAAATTATCAGACACAAAACTGAGAGAAAAATAATGGTAATAAAATGTATGTATGAAAAACTGTGGTTCTTAAGAAAATTTTGAAAAAGACACGTTAAACAAAGAAATGGAAAGAGAGGAAAGCACATCAATAACAATATTATAATAATTGATTAAATTAGCAGGCCTCTCAAATGGTTTCTAATTTTCCCAAAAGTCCGCAAAAAAAATTACAGTCGCAAAAGTCCACCCATCATAAGAAAAACCACGTTTTACTCATTGCTCTCTCTCAAAAAAAATTTTAACTTAAAAGTAATTTAAAGAAGTTAAAAAATTAAAAGTCATTAATTATTTTACTAGTATGCTCCTTGCACCTTTACGCAAATTCTACCCTCTGACGTCATATGAATCAGATCGATCATTTGCAAATCAATGAGAGCTATAAGCTAAGCAATATATATCAACAGAATCTAAGCTTGATATATATCAACAGATAACACTTTCCTCAATGCAATGTTTCAGCTACCCCATTTCGATTTCGTGTTTTATGTCAAATGCTTTATTTTTGGGAAATAATTTCTTTTAAAAATATAACCACTTGCTAATTAAAATTATTTGGAATATTCAAAACTTATAGTTTTTATGAAAGGGGGGAATGTAAATTTTTAAAACAATGGCTTGGATAGATTCTAACGAGCATATTGTGTTTGGGTTACCCAAAGCGAAAATAATTTGATTCCTGTCAATATTGATAATGGCTTTTATACTATAAAAAGGCGTTCTGAATCGGAAAAATATGAGTCAAATTTTGCTGCGAAAAAAAAAAAATTACGACCAGCTTGCTTTATCTGGTCCTACCACATCATTAAGTATGCTGAGCATTAAAGATCAAGCTCAGAGCTCATTCTAGGCAGAAAAAAGAGCAGGGTGCAAAAGTTAAAAGAAAGGGCATTATTATTAAAGCATTATTATGGACTTCTAAAAGGGCAATAATTTCTTTCTATGGACTTTTTACGTTCTATGAAAAAACATTGTCAATTAGTGAAAGAAATTTTTTACTTTACTAACAGTAGCAAAGCAATCATATTTACTAATTTTTATTAATAAATTAACATATATATCGAGTTATTGAGCTAATTAGCTGAGTAATTTATTTAAAATGCATGCATATATTAATAAATGTATGTTATTATGATTTAATAGTTATGATTTAATAATTAAATCTGTAGTTATGATTTAATAATTAAAATGATTAATAATTAAAATGATTAATAATTATGATTTAATGATAGTGGAAGCAACTGCAAACTTTTAAAGACAAGTGCAACAAGGAGGTGTGATGGCTATTTTTCCTTTCCCATATAAATCTATGTATTGGCAGCAATGACAAACTTATTAAAAGGAGTTGAAAATTTAAGAAATCCATTGTACAGTTTGGAGAAAAAATAAAGAAGGGTTGAGGAAAAAAAGGGTATGATGGAGTCTATTACACCAGGACACTAAATTGCATCAGGGGCAACAGGGTGGATTCTTTTGACTACCCGTCCTGTTTACCCTTCCTAGAATGAGCTTTGTCAAGCTTATAAAGCCTGAAAATGATATCTGCTAATATCCCAATTTCTACCTACGAAGCTATAGATAAGGTGTTTAATTGTATGTTACAACTATGGAACACTTTTCACTTAATCCTACGAAAGCAACTTACCTAATCGCTGATGCATTAGCATCCTGTTTCAGGAATGATTTTTTGAATGAGATAAAAAATTCATTCTGTACTTTAGAATTTGATGAAACTACAAAGAATGCTAATTTTGAAAGGCTACATAATATAAAATTTGTTTTTGGTCTGAAAAAATATTAAAAAATTCTCATCACTTGGAGACATTTTTCTTAGGCTATGCAGAAGATGTAATAAAACATCTTCTAAAATCTACCATAAACAATGCAGGTTTGATTCTTTTAATCTTGCTAATGCTTTCCAGTGATGGACCCAATGTTAACAAAGACTTATTTAATCTAATGATTAAGGAAATAAAATCAGTTAGAGGAGTCTGGTTGTAAAATATGGGATATTGCAGCATAAATATGCTACATAATGCATTTATGATAGGTTTAAATGTTTTTGAATCTAAAATTTCTGATTTGACTATTGCATTATTTCACTATTTTGATGGATGGCTTGCTAAAAAAAAGTGTTTCAAATTGCTTCAGTTGAAAAATAGCTTAAAGACCTTGCTTTATCAGACATTCAACTTCAAGATGCCTTACTTTAGAATCTCAGAGAGAGAGAGAGAGAAAGTTTAGTGAGTTAAGTTTAATGAGCATAATTTTTTTTACTAAAAAAAATAATACTTGAAATTAAAAATATATATTACATTACTTTCTTAAGACATACTTTGTAGTATTTCATTTAGCATACACTTGCGGAAAAACATTTATTATTATAAAAATTACAAAATGATTGAGTGTGTATTTTATTTTTAATGTTTTAGATTAGTATAGTGATTATAAAAATGTATATTTGTTCAATATGGATCAATTTTGCTTTTATTAAATTTTTTTTGGACCCCATTTCAACAAAAACGTTAGGGTGACCTTGGGTAAGTCCTGATCAAAAAATGCAAACATCTATTTTGTGAAAAAACTATTCAAGATAGAATTTTAATATTTACTGGAAGTTTGAGGCTGTATGAGATGAGTCCTATGCTACCTTCTTTTGTTTGAAAGTCTAATAAGAATTTAAAAGATTTTTAATGATCAGGAATTACCCTTTCTCTTGATCATTTCTGGGGTAATTACTGATCACCAGTTTTTATTGTAAATGGGCTGTTTATAAATAATTATACAATAGTAATTCACAAATACAACATTAAGATCAAACAAATAAACCAAAAAGATATTTTTAAGCAGCTATTAAAGCGTTTTATTTAAAAGCAGGAATAAAGATTAACACTAGCTCAGGCAGCAGCTCTCACACTGAAATTTTAATTTTCTATCATTAAAAGAAATTTGCTATTTTTGCTTTCTAGAAGCTTAGTATCCTTTTTAGGCTTATAATTTCTCACCATATTTATATTAGGTTAATTTATCAACTTAAAAATTATTCTAACAATGTACGCACATAAAGGTAAGACAATGGTAAGAAGAAAGGTAAGACAAGCTAGAAATGGTGCATATCAGAACACATTTGTCTTGTATACAGTTAAAAACAAATTTTGTGATTATAGTTAAAATATATTTTATAGTTGTTCCACTTAATAAATATGAACTGTTATTTAAGAAAAGACAAATAACTATTTATTAGCTATTTTTTATACTATGTATTTATATAAGAAATGAAAATGATCAGGAATTAACCCAGTGATCAATAATTACCCCATCTGTAGGGGGCAACATATGATATAGTTTCCTATAATCAATTATAATGTTTACAATAAAAGTGAAACAATTAAACAAAAGCTTACACTATTTTTATATCAAAGAAGAAGAAAGTAACTTAAAATATTTATTATTAAAAGAAGGAGGGGGATCTTTGCAGAAATGTGCACATTTTGAAACCCATCTTTGAAATGGAAAATGCAGAAAGCATTTTAAAAGATACTTATTTTTTTAGATTAAACAAAAAGCTATTATTAAGTAAATGTAGCAATACTTTAGTGAAGTGTACAAGCATTCTTGTCCATGTCTCAAATTTAAAAAAAATAATTTTTTTGAAAGTAAAACTTAGGTGATCAATATTTACTCCAGAGTGATCGTGAATTACCCCGGGTCACTCTACCCATTTTTCTCAATTTTTTATCCTAAAAGTGTTGAGGCTTGAATTAGGAATGAAACAGACAGGTTAAAAATAAAACCTTTCTAAGAAATTTAACAATGCTCAACGTTTGAAACTCTTAAGTGGAAACTTGTAGCTAGAATTATGTAGTAATTTTTGGAATAGAACAAAATAAATTTATATAATTCAATAATGAGCAAATAAATTTATATAATGAATTGGGTCAGTTCTGGGTGAGCTAACAGAAGATCCGGATGTGATGTCCCACCCTTATAAGAAAGAAAAGTAGGTTGAGCTCTGGTGTTCTTAATGAACTCAATTTGGTTTGAGTCAATAAAGTCTTCCAAAAAGTTGCCAATAGAGCAGTTTTGTCTATATCCCCACCTCTGAGAGTGGGCATTGAAATCACCAAAAATATGTGAGCGTTTGTTCTAGTCTTTAATCAGACAGTTAAGATTGGGCTTATTCTTCGGGGGATTATAAACAAAGGTAATGCGAAAGCCCCTGGTATTTTTCCAAACTTTGACATGGAGTGTTTCACAAAAGTGTCAGCCGTTAGGGAGCTTTTAACAAATATAATCATCCCAGAGGCTATTTGCCTTGATCGTGGTAAAGAAAAAGACTGGTATTGGTCAAGTGGATAGTATTTCAAGTGGCCAGCAGCAGCACCACTCTCAGCAATACCAATAATGTCTGGTTTCACCTGATAGATAATGGTTTTTAGTTCAAGGAATTTGTCTTGAGTCAGGCCACCAGCATTCCAGAAAATTTTTTTTAGGCTGGCTTTGTCCTTGCCCTTAAAAGAAATTTTTTTTTTGTAATAATTGGAGATGCCTTTATTGTAGGAAAAGACTGCAAGATAAAGACAAAGGCTGTAACAGATTTAGCGTTATCCAGGATGCACCACAAGGAGGCCTGTTACTCTACACCCTATTTAGTAGTAAAACTTCTTTTAGGACAGAACATGAAGGAATTTAAAACGAACTCCTATTATTCTACAGATTCCGTTTATGAAGGGTTTGGAAGCGGTTTTTCAGAGAAAACCATTCGCATGGGTAAGTATTTTGGTAACTTATTAGGGTTGGCCAGTTACATATTTAGAAGATATATATTTATATATATATATTATATATATAAATATATATCTTATATATTAGATATATATTAGATATATATTTAGAAGAATATCTTGTGGGCTCACACAGTTGTAATTTAGAATTTCTAAAAGTTTTAAATTACAAATAATTAATTACTGTGTATTTTTAAGCATACTTTATGCATATAATATGATTAGAGAATTATTTAATTAAAAATAACTTTATAAATTAACTATTATATTTTTTCACTGTTTTCATTTTTTTAACAGCAAAAACAAATATAAATTTTTATGTAACAATTCATAAGTGTCACAGTGTTATCTAATTTTATGTATTAAAGTAAACCATTTTTTTTTTTAGAAACTGAATTATTTAATAAGTATCGAGCATTGTAGGTTTTTAAAGTTAATAAATCTCTTTTTAAAATTTTCTTTAAAAAGTCATGGTTTTGTCCAATCTTGCTATTCAGGAGCTGTAAGTTGATTTTTCTAACTTACTTCAGTGAAAAGATTTTTCACTGAAACTTTTGATTTTTCTATTTACTTCAGTGAAAAGATTTTTATGGTATTTCTCCTCATTTAGAGTGCCACATTGATTAGCACATTTTTCTTTTCTATTTTTCCACCTTAATGTTTCAAACTTGTTCCATTAAAACAGTATTTTAGTGTTTCATACGTATTGCTTTTTTACTTGAAAACTTAAATAAATAAAGTAAAAACATTTTAGCATCATAATTCGTTTAAATGATTGTTCACGCTTGAGCATTATTTTGTGTTTTTTTATTTTGAATTGTTACAATTTTATATGTTCTTATGGTTTTATAAAGCTAATAATTATTCTTTTTAATTTTTATTTTGAACTATTCTTATTTGAACAGTAATAAATGTAAATATTTAGCTAGTTCTCTTGTGTATTATAATAAGCAGATTAATTTAAAAAAATAAAATAAATGGGAAACTTCTTTGCTTTTCATTTATTCTATTTTAAATTACTTATGTTAACTTTCTTTCTAGCTTTTATTCAGAAAGTGTATTCTATATTGATGGTCCAGTGGGCAATCACTGTTGGATTTATAAGCCTCTTTATTTACAAGTGAGTTTTTGGCTCAAATATTATTACTAACGTTATTTTTTCACTGTTCATTCTTTAATTTTAAGATTTAAGAGCCTCTCTGTAGAATGCAATATTATTTCAATTTTAAATTATTTTTGCAAAATTTTATGTTTAATATTTAATTTTTATTCAATGGCCTTTTTTTTAAAAATTAAGCTTGTTAAATAATAACCATTATTCACACTTTAAAATAAAATATTTTAATTTATAAAATCAGTACAGTAGGGAACCGATTATCCGGAACGATCGGGACCATCGCTATTCCGGATAACTGATTTTTCCGGTTTTCTGAATCGCTACAAAAAGCCGTTTTTTTTATTGTTAAACCCAACTAAAAAAATTNTTCTAAATATGCCACCTGTGGAGCTCAAAAGTAATACAGTAATGATTATTTCTAAAATGATGGTATGGTAAACATCTTTCAAAAAAGAAAGAAAAATCCTAAAATTTTTTTTAAAAAAATGGCGGGAAAATTTATCAAATTTCGTTCCGGTTTTCCGGTTTTTTGATTTCCGTATAATGGTTTCTGTACTGTATAATATACTATTTTTTAATATTATCAGGTTTAGTAAAGTCGAGATATATTGAAAAACATATATTTTCTCCTTTCAAAGTGAAATAATTCGTTATTTTTAGAGACATTTCATCACACTTTCTTTTAATTAATTTATTATGAAATCTGTGATTTTTTATTAATCTTGATCCAAAATAGAGGCAACTACTAGAAGCAACTATTTTGTTCATTTTTTTTCTGTGGCAAGCCTGCAGTAGGGGCTAAAGAATTTTGGGGGATGCTGGGCAAATTCATGAGTAATTGTTTGTTGTTAGAGCCTTTCAATGGATCAGTAACAACTTTATAAAATATTTAATTTTTAAATACTGAGAATGCTATGAATTTTAACAAGTCATATGAATTAACGAAGTTTTTATTTTTGTATCAAAAATCATTTGCATTTTCAAATTATGTATTATTATATACAGTAGAGAACCGATTATCCGGAATGGTCGGGACCATAGTGATTCCGGAAAACTGATTTTTCCGGTTTTCTGAATCGCTACATAATGCCGTTTTTTTAATGTTCATAAAACGAAACTAAAAAATAATTTTGAAATAGTTTTAGAAAAAATAAAAAATGATAAAAAATAATACACTTAAGTTTAAATAAGGAAAGAAATTATGAAATAAAAATTATATACAGGCTTATATATGTTATGGCTTATATATATATGGAATTATTATATACAGGCTTATATATATATGGCTTATATTAATAACATATATAAGCTATTTGTGCTTATGTGAGATTCGTCTACAAACGGCTTTTGATCCGTTCTCTAAATCAGTTCTTTCGTCAACTCGATACGCCGTACGCTCTAAATAACAAAATGGGCTCAAAATCTTGCAAGAAATGTTTTTTTTTTTAATTGAGGAAAATTTATTTCCGGTTCCGAATTTCATTCCGGTTATCTGGTTTTCCGGTTTTCTGATTTTCGGATAAGAGATTCTGCACTGTACAATTAACCAAGTATGTTTAAAATAACTTTCTTATGTTACAGTTAGAGTAACTAATTTTTCACAATGTGAAAAAATACAGATATTGCGAGTTTTGCTTTGGAAATGTCAAGTAACATTATTTAACTCTCATCATTTGGCATAGTTTTAAAAAATAGATAACACAAGTACATAAAATTTGTGAAAAAGTTTTAGAAATTTGTGGAGAAAGTTCAGAATTTTGAGAATGTGCAATGTAATTTTTTGGTATTCTATTTTAAATTTTTTTTCTCAAATGAAAATAAATTTCAAAATAGTGTAGCTAAAAAAATGCAAATAACATTTTTAAAAAAATAGTTTTTATTAAAAAAAAGAAATATATATCAGAACTTTACTATGAAATCTCCCACATGAATACATTGGAATGACTCTTATATAATTTGATTACACTTGTTCTTTCACTGTACAAACCATTATATAATTTAAATTAAGCGATTTTAATTTTATAAAAATGAAATAAGTAGCTGTCAACCATATAATTTTGAAGTATTTTTTGTTTCTAACCTCATATGTATTTTTTTAGTGATTCTGTGCAAAATTATACAGTGCAACACCCCAAGATGATTATCTTTACCCTGTAAGTTGTGCTTTTTTATATTTTTATTTTATTTTTAAATTTAAGTCCTGGTTTGTTCTATTAGTTACATTTGAGTACTTAGGTTTATTCATTATGCATTTGTTCTGGTTTACTGGTAAAAGGCTTTTGCATTAGTTTGTATGACTAGACCAGGGATGGCGAACCAATGGCACATAAATGGCACGCGACACACTATTTTGGGCACGCCACTGATCACAAAGTTCACTACGAAGCATAATAACAATTAAATTAAAATTTATAAAAAGAAATGAAAATATTAAAAATTATTAACAAAAAAATTTATAATTAATGCCAAAAAAAAATTAGTAACCATAAAAAACAGGCTAACAATAAATAACCAGCAAAAAGATATTTAACAGACCTGCTTAAACTAACATCTTACAACCTAATATAAGTTATTTGTCATCTAATCTGCAACAACAGAATTCACACTGATGTTACTTTAAGTTGAATTATGCTTATAACCGAGACACTGCAAAATGTTTTTTTTTCTTCTTTATAGTAAATAAAGAGTTTTGATAGTATTTAGTATTATTACTTTCCCAATAATCCCGAAGTTAAAATTATTTGACGGCACGCCTATGACCTCATTAAACAATTTTTGAAAAAAATGGCGCTTCGGTGCATAAAGGTTCGCCACCCCTGAACTAGACCAAGGTACATTCAAAAAGTTGTACAGTGCCCGCCGCTAATAAAATCACCGGATAATAAAATCAGCCGCTTTATAAAATCAAATCGGCAAGACCCGAATCGTTGCAATATTAATACATGTTAAAAACATCCTTTAATAAAATCAACACCGCCGCTTTTTAAAATCAAAATTTTGACCACATAATAAATCAAAAGTGCGATATCTCAGCTTTTTTTGTTCTTATTTATAAAATTTTATTTTTTCGAAGTTTAAAGATTATTTTAGAAGAAGCAACAGTTACTCACAAGCCTGTGAAACAGGTGTGGTTAGCACTTTCCTGTGATATACATAGTGTAAGAGTTAAGGAAAAATGTGGGTGGTAAGCGGAGAGTTCATAGAAATCAATTTAACAACGTCAATTCCTTGACTTGAATGAAGTTTGGAGAAACCTATCTCCCTCAACAGGGGGTCGAAGGGGTTGAATTCTTATCTTACTTTTTATTGAATGAACCATAGCAGGGAGAGAAGTTTCTTTTGTTATCTATCTTAACAGAGAACATGAATAGATTTCCAAAAACTGTCTGTGCGCCCATATTATTTAAGCCATTTGAGTAAATTATAGTTAGAGTAAGAGCACATATCATTTTTAACTTCGTTTGGTGTTAAATTTTATCAGCATGCCGAAAAGGAAGGATTTGAGCCTTAAAGATAAATTCGAAGTGTTGCAAAACTATGATAAGCTTCCTAAATGTAGTCAACGTGAAGCTTCAATTAAATTAGGGATTTCCCAAACTGCTCTTTTCGACATTCTGAAACAAAGGATAAATATTTCCGAGGAAATAAAAAAGAATGGAAATCTGTCAAGAAAGCGTGAAGAAAATCGGAGGAAATTGAAATGGCTCTGTTAGAATGCTTCAAAAATGCACGCGAACGAAGAATTCCAATTTCCTGTGGAATTTTATTTCACAAAGCACAGTTTGCTAACTTATTTGGTGATTCTGATTTTAAAGCTACAGATGGGTGGCTAACCTGATGGAAAGAACGCAACAACATTGTCTATCGTAAATTGCATGGTGAAAAGCAAGATGCTGATTTTAGCTCTGCCGCCGATTGGGTAAACGACGTGTGGCCAACACTCATCAAAGACTATAAACCAGAGCAAATTTTCAACACAGATGAAACAGGATTATTTTTCCGAGCACTTCCTGAACACACACTGCTGTTTAAAAATGAATCGACTGGTGGATGTAAAAAAATGAAGGAAAGACTAACCGTGCTGCTAACATGCAACATGACAGGAACTGTGAAAAAAAATCCTTTAGTGATAGGAAAGAGTTTAAAACCTCGATGTTTTAAAGGAGTAAAACACCTGCCCACCAGTTATGCCAACAGCTATAACGCATGGATGACATCCAGCATCTTCACAAAATTTCTTCTTGAATGGGACAAGGAGCTGAAAAATGAAAAGGTCGTCTTACTTTTAGACAATTGTTCTGCGCACCCTGCTGATAAGGACTTGAGTTTGAAAAACATTAAATTAGTGTTTTTGCCACCAAACACTACAGCTATTATTAAACCCCTTGATCAGGGAATCATAAGATCATTCAAGTTTCATTACAGAAAAATGGTTGTTCAAAAAATCATTAGTGACATAGGCTGTGACAGCTCTTCGAAACTCTTAACTGCAAACAAACTATCGAAATCCCTTATGATTTTGGAATCAATGCATTTGATTCGTAACTCATGTGACATTGTTTCAACCCAAACAATATCAAATTGCTTTAAAAAGTGTGGATTAAGCACTGGTGATGGAGCTGATAACTGTTTCGAAGAAATGCTCAGTAATGAAGAAAATGAAATGGATGAGAATTTTTCATGTTACGTAGCTATTGACGATAACCTACAAACATCAGGAGAAAAATCTGATTCTGAAATTGTTACTGACATCAAAAATTGCAAAGTTATTTCCAATCAAGAAATGGAAGAATCAGACTCAGAAGATGAAATAAACTCATCTTCAACGAAAGTCAGAAAAGCACTTAATGTATTGCGGCAAGCTTTAGAACAAAGAGGAGGAAATATCGAAACTATAAAAACTTCCATAAACTCTCAAATGATGTTGAAAAGTTAATTTTAAATAGTGTAACTCAAGCAACCATTGATCGGTTTTTTGCAAAAGTTTTGTAAATTTAATCTTATGTAGGGTTTTACTTTATTAAAATAATTAAATTAGTTGAATAAAGCATTAATGTTGCCATTATTTCAGCTTTTAAAGTGTGTGCATTTAGAATATATCTTAAAAATGTGATTTTTTTTTCAAATGTTGAATCGCCTCTTAATAAAATCAAAAGAGCATAAAACGAAAGTGATTTTAATAAACAGCGGGCACTGTATCGGTTAAAGTAAAATTACTAATCCGTTTTTAAAAGTTTATTGGATTTTTAATTAATTTAATTTAATAATCCTCTAAATCGTAATTTTTATTATAATTTAATCCGTGCTTAATTTTTTAATTTAATAAACATTTTTTGGATATTTTATGTTGATGTCTCATATTATCAAAAACCACTTAATTAGTCTAAACAAACTGTTTTCAAAAACTGTTGTTTGATGATGATACTAAAAATAATACAGTAAAGAAGGAACTTCAGTTTCATATTATGCATTTGTCCAAGCAGCCTGAAGAAGTTGTATACTGACATTTAGAAGCAATTTTTAAGGGCTCAGAAGAAACTGTTCTCAACAAACTGAAACTGTTCTCAACAGTGTAAGTTTGCAACTCAAGTTATTGAGGTAGACTTCTGATAAACCTGTAAGTGAATTATAAATCTGGCAACTTATAAATGTCAAACTATAATTGAAGATGAGAAATATGGATTGATTAATATTTTTTAAAGGAATTGAAGAATATTAAGATTCTCCTATTTATTTAGTGGCTAGTAATATTTATTAGTAATATTAGTAAACAGTAATAAAAAAATTTTTTTTTTGAAAAAAAAAAAAAAAAAAAGGAGAGTGAGAGGGAAAAGAACACAAGCAATTGAAAAACTTCTTGAATAGTGATTGGCCACAAAATATTGTCTGTATTAAGGTGGCGAATTTACTCAATCTGAAAAATTTGGAAAACAATAAGAAAGCAGACACAACAGTGAATTTCATTGAAGAAAGCTCAAAGTTATATGATTCATAATTAGAAAATTTTCAAAGGTTGGAATGAGTAGTTCTAATACATCTATTTGATACTGAAATAAAAATTCAGGTCTTTTTTGTTGCATTGATACAGAAATAAATGTACCTTTAAAAAATGAGCATTGGGAATAAAAAACTTAATATTATGAAAAAAATATCAATAAATTGTGCAAAAATAACAGGTTAGATGTGTACCTATAATTGCATAATGGCATTATTAATATTTCTAAAGGAAAGAATTTACTGTCAAATTTACAACTGCATCATGGTTTTTGTGCCCTAATTTACAAATCTGGACAAATGTTTCATTTTGTGATAAAAGAAATTACAACAATGCCAAATTGTGAGAACTGAAAATTTTTTTTCTTCTTTCTTTCTAGCACTATTACAGACATGTGTTTCAGTTGAATTTCCTCTTTTTCTTGACATTTCAATTATTTTGATAGTTACTGTATCAACAGTTTAATTCGGATCAATAACTAAGTTGGATGTAGAAAACTTATTCGGCAAAATATTTTTTATTCACTTGGCTAAAGTTTTTTTCTGCTGATTGGCCCAACTGCATATTTTTTCAAAAGTTACTGAGAACTGGACGCATAGCAATCTAAAAAAGTGCTACTTCTATTGACAAAATATGTATTTACTAACATGAAAAAATGATGCTAAATGTGACTAGAAAATTTTATTAGCAGAAAGTGAATTTCACTATTAGCAGTGATTCAAGAATGGATCTTTTTTGGGGACACTTCAAATATTCATGTATAAGTAAGCTCTTTAATGTTTGTCTGTCATTGTCTCATTGATGCAGTGAGATAAAGTGAGGATTTTCTGTATCCCATATAGAGTTTTGTAAAATTATTGATTAAATGACAAGTTAGTGATTAAACATGCTATAAAGCTTTATTCTACGATTTCAGAGATTCCCATAAATAAAGATGATATATAAGGATTATGTCATCTTTATCTGAAAGACCAGAAGAAAATAAAGAGGAGTATCTAAGATTAGAAAAATAAAATTATGGAAAGATTGATGGATTTTTTTTAATGAAAATTTTAAAAGTCTAAGAAGTGGAAGAAAAAGCTATGAGAGATAATCAGAAGAAAAAAGAAATTTGCTTAATCAGCTGCTGATGTACTTTTTACATAGGCGAGCCAGAAATTGAATATAGCTATTGAAGCTATATTAATCTTCACTGTTCATTTTCTTTCAACTTTTTTTTCCGGCTTAGGCAACATGTATTTAAGCAACTTTCCATTATTTTACTACAAAAGTTATTCTTTACATTTGGCGTACAAACATTTAAATAAATCAAAAAGAGTTTACGTACAAGAAAGTGTTATGCAAATATTGTAAATTTTTTTATAAACCCGCAATCCACAAATTAGAAATGTGTTTATTTTCATTCAACCAATAAGGTAACTAGCTGAAGACATCATGAAGATATTTTTTAAATATTTGTTTTACCAATTAAATGTGTTATCATAATTTTATTTAAAGATTAATATTTATTAAATTCTCTATTATTTTACCTTTTAATTTCTAAAAATTCTTTCAGTGTTATGATGGTAATATTGATGATTGCTATGACTTGCTGTGTTAATATGAGAAGAACCTTTCCATTAAATTTCATTTGTCTCTTTCTTTTTGTAAGTTATTTTCAATTTTTAAAAAAAAATTCTGTATTCCTTAAAATAAAACGATTTATGCAAAAGTTGTAGTATTTAGAATATGTTAATGCATGTGTTGTTGTATTTGTTTTTTTTAATGCAAATTTTTATATTTTCTGTTCTAAGTTTACAAATAGCATGAATAATTGTAAATGCTTATGTTCGCAGAGAGTTTCACCTTTTGTGTCAACCCTTTTACTCATTTTTAACTATCCTTATAAAAGAAACTCAGTTGTTAAGACCTCATATGCAGAGGCATATCTACAGAAAAATAACAAATTTATGCCCTTTCATATTTTTTTAAATACATAAAGCAATATTTGAAGTATGTAATCATCTTGTAATCATATAGTAAAACATCATATTTTATTTAATCAAGAAAAAAGAATGTTTTTTGAAAAACTATTACAAATAATCTAATTGTAATAATATTACATTTATGCTTTTTTAAAATCATTGATTAAAAACATATACAGTAATTTCCGGTAAATAGGCCGCGGCCTATACGTGTTTAAAAGTTGGGCTGCGGCCTATATGTAGAATTTTTTTATCCCATCCCACAAGTGAGAATTTTTTGATCTAGGTGGATTTATTCAAAATCAGATGTTTAGCAAAAATTTTCCAAAATAACGAACTTAATTCGTAATGTTTACTCTGGTAACGTTTTTCTTTCTTATTTTTTTAAATGAATTTGCCGAATTTCGGATCGCTTTCGGAAATTCCAATATGGCGCCCATATATTACGATAATTCAATTATACTGTTAATTTCCGAAAATTAATTAATTACAATAAATTTAGTTCAGTTTTGATCGTAGATTATGATGGGGTGAATTTAAAAATGTCCCATCTTAAGAAATTTCATTAATTAAAATAATTATCTATATTATAGAAATAACAATATATATTTTTAATAAGCTAACAACTAATGATTAAAAAACAAGCTAACAACTAAATACAATTTAAAAATAAAAACTAGCTTTCAAATAATAAAAAAAAATAGCAATTAATATCTAATAAAAAACAAAAGAGATTGATTTACATCGAATAAAAAGAAGCCTCAAAAGGGATAGAATTCATTTTGTATCCCACTTGGTAGTTTCAATTTCAAAAGGGTGTGGCTAATTTATGGTCAAACTGGAGGGGGAAAAAATGGGGACAAATGAGTAGAGCATTTCCACAGCTGTCAAGATTGATTTATCAGTTTCTTCCAACTTGCATTTCTTTATTTTGTTCATTGGAAATGCAGATGTTTTTACTTTTCCCTTTATTTTAAACTGCTTTTAGAAACAGATGTTTCCTTTGACTCAGATTTTTTTTCATGTTTTTTTTTAAAGATAAAATAAAGTTACTTCATCAGAATAAAATTCAAATAAAAAGAGAATTATACTGATTTTTTTTTCTCTTGTTAATAAAAATTTCTTCTAAGAAAAAAAAAAGAAAAAGGGATCAGATTAAGTGCTGAATATCCAGCAGTGAAGAATCAGATTTCGATGGTTTTGAATAGATATATGCTCAAAAATATTTGAAAAGTATAAATAAATAAATGCTGATTTATTTTGTGATTAGTTTATTTTTTATCGCATACACATCCTTAACTTAGGATCATTCTCAATTCTTTTTTTTTTTTATGATAAGTATACATAAAAATGATGATGATAATGTAATGAGTATACATAAAAAAAAATATTTATCAATAACTTTTTTCTAAGTATAGAGTTTATGTTTTAAAGATTATTATTTTTTATGAGTATTTTCACACATGTGATATTTGATAAAAATCGATGATCGATCGAAAAAACGAAAGTGCGGCCTTTAGGACGGTGCGGCCTATAAGATGAAAATTGAAATTTTTAACGATGTTTTTTGCGGGTGCGGCCAGTACGGCGGTGCGGCCTATTTACCGGAAATTACTGTAGCAATTTAGCATAATCATTGATTAAAAACACATATACTTCGATACTATTGTGAGACAACTAATTTAATTAACCTCAGTTAAATTTTAAATTTTGACTAGCATCATATAGATAGAAAATGGTGCCCTGATCTGGGGTTTATTTTCTTTAAAGGATACAATTTAAAAATAATTATTTCTAATCATTAAAAACGAAATCAAAGTAGGCTTATGTTTGAAATATAATTTTTTACAAACAGTAAAAATTTAGAAAGCTTTTAGCCCCATATGTATTGTGAACTAATCAATTAAATGAAATTCTTGCAATAAGAGAAAAAGAAACTTAAAACTTAATAATTTTGATCAGTTTTGACATTTGCTAAAAATTATAATAAAGTTACCTATATTGATTAATTTTTTTTTTATTCATTGAAAAAAATGTGCGATTTGAGAAAAATTATTGATAGTAATACATATTTCTATATAAATATAAAACTGTTCTAATATTCAATAAAAGAAAGGAAATAAGTGTTATAGCTTTCATTCAAAAATGTGTTAATGTTTAACACTATCTTTTTAAATTGTATAGCAAACATAGAACAATTCTGAAGAATTAAAGCACTGAACTAAAGTGCTCGAAATTGCCGTTAAAAATGTTTCGTTTTTAATATATGTTAGAAGCTTATTTATAATAAAATCAGTAAAATTAAATAATAAAAACATTCTTAATAACTTTTGATCTAATGATCTACACTTGTCAAAGTGCAAATAATCTTAAAATCATGTAAAGAAATTTTGATCTTTATTTTGATCACATAATTAATAAAAAGTAAAGACTGTATTATTTTGTTGTGTAGAATTTAAAAGGTAAATTATACTTAATGGTTGCAGTTTATTACAAAATTTTCCTACTAAATATATATTTTTTAGTCTTTTAAATTTGATAACATATTTAATATTACTAATATTCTCTAACGAAAAAAGCTGTTTCAAACATCTTTAATACATAATGACAATGAATTATTTTTGGGGGAAAATGTACCTATTTTAAGAAAAAATTTATAAATTTTTTTTCCAGTATGGAACTTAATACACGTTTATCAAAGTAAGATTAAAAATAAATTTAGATGAAGATTGTGTTTGTATAATATTACTTTTTATACAGACACATGTGGTGTTTTCTCCAATCTCTTAGTCCTTTTTAGTTTTAAAATTGACTTTTGATGGTTTTTCTTGCCTAGATTTTTTTTTTTTTTTGACATCATGAATGAATTGTATGTTAGCACCAATCTGCTCAATATCTATCAGTTTATACCATATATATCTAATATTATGTTTATAATTGAAATAATATTATTAAATTCTTTTCAGACATTTGTTTTATCTTTTCTCCTAGGAGTTGCAAGTTGGTAAGTAAAATAATTATATGTATGATTGCAATTAACTGTTTAAATCTAGGGTTATCAAACTTTTCAATTCAGGTGTCTTTTCTAGTTTTAATTCCTTTTTTTCTTCGTAATAGTTAGAATCTCAATAATCATTTAAGAACTCGTAAAATATCACTTACCGCTGGTAAAGTGATAGGTAACAATAATTTTTTTTTATGGGTATTTCTGGATAAAGAAATTTTTAGAAATATAAGCTTAGGAAAAAAATGGTAATGCTCTAAAGTCTGTGTAAAAATATATATATCACATTTAGACAATTCCAGTATATAATGTAGTATATCTTAATCAGACATGTGACTTTTCAGTATTTTTTTTCTGCTATTGCGTATTTAATATCTCAAAACATGCTCTCAATTTGCCATTTTAGTATTTTTATTCTGATTGGGTTACATGTCTTTAATATTTGCAGTAGTATTGAATGTGTTATTTCTTCCAAAGGAAAATGCAAATGTTGAAATGAAATATTTTTGGTGTTGCTTTATTTTTTTAGAGCCACTGAATGCATGTATAAACTTTTATTAGTGTCCAAATGAAAAGAAAAAAAAGGAAGAGCTTTTAAATTTCTCAAAATGAGACTTATCACTTCAAAAATGTTTGAATAAATTTGAGTGTAAAAAACTAATTTTTATGAAACTTAAATACCTTATTGCACTGGTAATAAACTGCAGATTATTTTTGTCTTTTGAAATGGATAGCTTTTATTCCAGTATTAATCATCCTTTTCATCAGAATTTATAAAATTTATTTCTTTATTGTGATTTATGTGTACCACTGTGAATTCTCCTCTTGAGCAATGCTGATGAGATGCTGAATTGACAGCATGCAGCATAGAACACAAAAAGTAAATAAAAATGGAAAGTAAATTGTTACTTAATTGCTGGTTTTTACAGTATAGGAATTTATTCCCTTTTTTATTGAATTTAAATAAAAAAAGCTTTTTGGATACAATTCAACCATATAATTGCGTGTGCAACTTTAGGTATATATATATATATATATGTGAGGATTTTTTTCTTTTTTTACATGATTTTGAATTGTAAGGTATTTTAAAACTATTTTACATCATCTTAGAGGATACAATTTTACATTGCAAAATGCCAAATCTGAGTAAAATCGGTCAAATAATTCTGTAGTTCTTGTTTCAGAAAAGGGCTTTTTTTAGAAAAATATAATAGCTGGTTTTACAAATAT